TTGGTAAAGTTTGGCATGCTGATTTTCTCCATAAGCTTCTTACGGTGTATCTGGAAACATTTTTAAGATTATTGAATCTTTCCTTTCCAATCGTAGTATAAAAGTTGTCCTCAATGGATAGCACTCTTCTTCTTATTCTGTAACCTCAGGGGTTCCTCAAGGTTCAATCCTTGGCCCTATACTCCTCTGAATTTACATTAGCATCTGCTAAAGTTGCATCAGTTGAAAAAATGCAAAAACGCATAGTAAATATAACTAGACCTGCTCTTGCAGCCAACCTTCAACCATTATCACATCGTCGCAATATTGCTTCTCTTTCTTTTTTCTACAAGTACTATAATAAGCACTACTATAAAAAGCTAGCGTCTCTTGTGCCATTTACTAAAATTCATCAAGTCTTATCCTTTTTCTGCGACTGTTCCTGAGTGCTCCACAAACTCTTATACGTCTAGTTTTTTTCTACGAATATCGTTCTTTGCAAATCGCTTCCTTCATCTTAATTTCCTGATTCATATAATTTGCAATCTTTTAAATTGTCTGTAAATCGTTATCGAGCTCTACAGACGTCATCTTTTCTCTTCCAGTAACTTCCAACTCTAATTATTGGTTGCTTGCAGTCTTGTTAGAAGCAAAAATGTTTAAAAAAAATTACGTGATATTGTTACAGATGCCCTCAGTTAGGGTTTTACAGCAGACGTTATTTATAAAAACTTTTCAAAAGCGTTCGATATGGTACCGTACGAAAGACTCTTATACAAACTAAAGGCATATGGAATTCACGGTCAACTACATAACTGGATAAAAAATTGGTTGACAAATTGAGAACAACGTGTCAAAATATATAATACATTAATGCCATAAAGAAAAGTGTTTAACGGAGTACTTCAGGGTTCGGTTTTAGGACCGCTCCTTTTTTTGCTCTACTTTAACGACTTACCGGACCTAATTTTGAGTCATATAAAAATGTATCCAGACAACAGCAAGATCATAAGTATTATCAAGATAAGTATATCAAGGAGTAAAACTGGATGAAAATTTACTATTTACATATAAAGAGTATTGAAACGACACTATCAAAAAATATCGCAATGATGTTTAAGGCTATAACTTTTCTAAATGTAGCATACCTGAAAAAATTGTATTTTGCTTTTATTCACAGTTATTCGTTTTACTGTAATATTGTGTGGGCTAGTACTGGTTATACAAAACTTAAGAAAATCTACAACAAATAAAAACATGCATGCAGAATAGTGTTTGGAGCCTACAGAAATACTCCAAGCGAACCACTTTTACGTGCACTCGGTGTTTTAAATGTGTATAAACTCAATTTACACCAAGTTTCATTGTTTATGTTTAAAACAAAAATGGGAATGTCTTCAAAAATTTTTCAAACCTATTTTAATGAAATTAATCATAAATATTCAACAAAGTTTTTAGATAACAACTTTGTTTATCTCTAGTTTAAATTAAAATTAACCTCCTGTTCAATTAAATACCGCGGACATTATCTGAGGAAAAAATTCCCAGAGGTTGTCAACAAAAAAAGACTACATTAGAGCAAATTAAAAATGAATCAAAACGGTTATCACTGTTCAGAGATCTTAAATTATCCGACTTCAAATGTTTTTTCAAGTTTAATCAAATAAAAACAAATTTATTTATATCAATGAAATTTAAGTGATGATGTTAAAAATTCATTTTGTGATAATGTATCACAATATGAATTTTTAACATAATTTAAACATAAATTTAAACTTTTCTTATATAATTCATTATTTTTTTATAAATCTTTTTTCCATCTAAGTATCAAACAAAACAAAACTACCACTAAAATACATAAAACGCATAGAGGCAGCGTCATAAAAACAGTTTAAAGAAATGTGTTAAGCATTTATTTTCCAAAAATATCTCTTTTATTCGAAAGTAAGAAGTCTTCTTATTTACAGCATCAAAATATTCAATAAATGGCTAAAAACCTCATATTTTATTTTTCCGTAAACAGTAAAAACGTTAAAATCAAAGTTTAACATTAGTTTATACTCATAGCAATTTACTTTCATAACCTCTTTATAGTCGTTTGAATAAATTACCATAAAGAAACGTTTCAGTTTTTATATAACTTCTGCCCAATAGTATTAAGCTAAAACTTGAAACTCGATAATAAAATCACCAAATATTCGTAAACAAAATAATACAATGAGCTTTGAAGTTTTTCAAAAAAATAAATCAATCAAAACGCACACTAAATAAAACGGCCTTTTATGAAAACGAAAGGACCTAAACTCGATATTTTTAAATAATAAATAAAAATAGAGAGAATTAATTGCTGAATTATTTTATTACTCTTTTTTTTTAACAAACATATTGGTTATAAAAACACAAATTGTCAGATTCTTTGCGTTCAAATTTTTGGCATCTTGATCCAGTTCTGTGCAGTTGTTCACACTTTTTTGCTGTTATAATCAACAACAATTTTTAGGAACTGATAAGAGTATTCTGGATGAGAAGCATCTCTTTTGTATCTTTCCCAATGTCTTTTGAAACAAGAATGTAAAGCTTTAGTGATTTGTTCACTGTATAGTCCTAGGTTAATTTTTTTCATCTTGATAAACTGTTGAACATGATGAAAAACTGCATAAATCTTTTAGAATGACAGAAATCTGGAGCTTCAGAAAACTGGATTTGAAATCTTCAATTTTCAAAAGATAATCTGGTGAAAAAGAATAGTCAAAAAAAATTAAAGCAACTTTCTTAAATGAATTCAAAGCATGGCAGAAATTCAAGACTTCTGAATGACCTTCAGCTTCAGCAAGGAATTTTAGCTAATTCACTTTTTTGAGCAACTTCATGCAACCATTCTTATTGTAGTGGCCACCATGGTAACTTTGAAGAGGAATGTGAATGGCTTGAAGCAAATCCAGCCTTCAGCCATTTTTGTATCAGACGTTTTACAATTTGATTAACTACTCCAAAAAGTAAATGGAATAAAGTTTTTCTAAAACAACTGTTTGGTAAAGAAAAGGAAGCAAAGAAAGATGAACAGTATTGTAGAAAGCTTTGGCATTTTTCAAATCACCTCCAGATTTGACAATATTACTGTTTGCTACTATGAGATTGAAGATCACAAATTAAGTTTGTAAACTTCATACCACACGAGATAATCAAGGAGTTGAGAAAGCAAGATTTTTCTATATTAATGATCTTAATAATTTCTTAATGATAATGATAATGGTCTTAGAAAATCATCCAGAATTTAACAAAGATTGTATGAAAAATTTTAAAAAAATAACACTTATAATAATGAAATTAAATACAAAATGTATAAAAATTGTTTTTAAAAGATTAAAAAAGAAAATAAAAAAAACAATGAATTATTCTACCCTCTTAGAGCATTCAATAGAAAATAGTAAAAAGACATGGAAAGTTGAATTTAAATCATAATTAAATTAAAAAATTATAGAAGTTACAGGGAAAAAAACAATTACAAAAAAACTATTCCAACTGAGTTAAAGCTTGAACCAAGAAATATTTTGATAGAAATTGCTAAAAACTTAAACAAATTTTTTATAAACATAGGAAAAAAATTAACAGCAGATATAACTCCTGGAAATAAAACATTCTAATCCTATTTTAATGAACTTCATGCATCCCTTCAAGCACAAATAAACAAGTTGTGCATTTTTTTCAGCAGTTGGAGTTCATGGATTACCTTGGCCCACATTAAGTTGTAGAGGATATTTCTCTTTTTCAATGATTTTAGCTGTTGCCTTGTGAAAATTTTTATCACTTTGCTGATTGATGTTAAATCAACAATTCATGCAAGTTCCAGGAGGCACACAATTATCACTAAAGTTCACAGTACTTGAGATTATTTTGTGATTTTTCTTCTGGTAAGATTCAGTCAATTGAATTTTTTCATACAGATTGAGTAAACAAATTTTCTGCAATCTTCGTGGTTTTTGGAAAACGTAGGCATGACGGAAAACAAATTTTTGGCACGTGGAAATGAAACATTTTTTGCATGGACGTACATATAAGGATAAGCAGAGTAAATTGCTCAAAAATTTTCATTAAAGTTCCAGATAGGCTCTTTATAAGTACTTATACAAAATTTAGTTTGATTAATTATCACTTTGATAATTAAAAACTTGTAAAATACTTCATTTTTAAGAGGTCATATCTATCATTAAAAAACGGTTAAATAACGGTCACAAGTCTACAATCCGGTTTATAAACTTATCCAAATCAGAGTAGAAATATAATGAGACAGCGAGACCGTGATTTTACGACGGCGTCTTACAACACATCCGCGTCTCAGTTTCTAAATCAAATTTAATAACCTTAGGCGGTTATGAAGGTTCTGAGTGAGTTTCCTTCGAATTTTAAATTTTTATTTAGTGTTTTATTTAGCAAAGAAAAGTTTTCACTGTCATTATCAGTTATTATTATGTCAGTCAAACGCCCTAATTCTTATTGGTGGTTCTTCCTAGTTACTTTTGGCTACACGACTTAAAATTTCTAATAAATTTTAATGTCCAATAAGTTCGTAACTTATTGGACATTATCCCTGATTCTATAAATTACGCCACCAATTGCCGAACTGTTGGTGGTAAAGGTATATTTTGCTGTTTAACAATTTATAGAACTTTTTATTGAGCTTAACTTCAATTATCTGAAAATGTAATGGAGAAAAAGTGATCGTTTTAAAGCTATGAGTAAACGAATTAGATAGTTACTTTTGGACCACCATGTACTTTCACGAACATGCTAAAGCGCTCAACCACTAAGACGCAAACTTACATAAGTGCACCCAACACAAAATTATTTTAACAATGCGTGTTATTGCTGGTTATATTGACATATGACCACACACTAAAAATTATATATATATATATATATATATATATATATATATATATATATATATATATATATATATATATATATATATATATATATATATAAACTTCACATATGAATTGTAAAATATAAAACTAAAGTAACGCAAATAAATATTTTCCTCAGAGAATAAAACTAAAAAATACAATCAACATTAATCTTTATATACAATTATCTTACATCACTCAAGATGCTTGAAAAAATATGAACATTAAAAGTGAATATTAAAAGCGCATACACCTTTTAAACATCACTTCAAATTAGAATGTGTTTGAATGTTAATATACATAAATTTAGTTAAACATTTGAAAATATTTCTGATAAAAAAAATTAATGTCCTAATAAAAACTAGAACATTCTCTATTTACTAAAGTTTCATATTTAAATATTCAAATTAGTAAGATGATAATTTGTGTCACTCAGAGAAGCTTGTGTTGTGAAACATTTAATATTTATGACACTATACACCCAGTCTCTCCCTTTGAAGAACTTGTATTCGGATCTTTAACTTCTTTTATTGGTTCTATTATTTCTTTATTATCTTTATTGGTCATCTAAATGAAAAATGGCTGAACAAATTATTTAAAAATAGTGAACTGTTGAAAAATAAAAAATAGAAACAAGTTTTTATGAAGCCTTTAATCAACATATAACAACAAATTATACAAAAAATGTTTATTTAGTAAAACTTTATATTACGTGAGGCTTATTCTCTTGAGTTTGAAATGCTGTTAGAACTTCGTGTTTCCAGCGAGTGCTCATTGGGGGAACTATATATTCCACAGGACTTGCCATTCCGATTTCTGTTGTTTCTAACTCAGGAACTTCTGAAGGAACTTTTTGGTGGTAACTAATAAATTTAAAATATAGTGCAATTTTTTTAAGACCTAAAAGAATTTAAATAAGAAAATTCATGCAAACTTATTTACGTTTTTTGTCAAAATTTTTGTTTTAAAATAAGATTGGTTTTATGAAGTATAACGTGGAGTATAAAGAATAAGAAGTGATCAAAAATCACAAATGATAGGAAGGAGAACAAGTAAAAAAACACTTTATAAAAATTACGTAAAAGAAAAGTTTCAAAATTTGTTTCTTAAAACATAAAAATATATTTCTTGCTTTTAAAATTCACAGCAAAATCATTTTCCATAGTTGAGAAATTTATTACTTAAAACAAGAAATATATTTCTTGATTTAAGAAATAAATTGCGCGGGTGGAAAATTTATGTTTTAAAACAAGAAGTTTATTTCTTGTTTTAAAATATAAATTTTCCACCCGCATATATATATATATATATATATATATATACATACATATATATATATATATATATATATATATATATATATATATATATATATATATATATATATATATATATATATATATATATATATATATATATATATATATATATATATATAAAATAAATGATAGAATATATAATAACAATCAGTCGACATAATAGCACTCCTCACATGTTTTACCTATTTTTCAGTTGGTATAGCAAAAAAAGTTATTTATTTCATTACTCTTTACTGTTCATTTCTTCAAAAAATGCTTGAATTTAAGTTAAGAATTTAAAACTTTAAGTGTGTAAAATATATTAGGAGAGAAAAAAATACTAACATGAAACCATTTTCGTGATTTGCTTTTTCTAATTTCATTTTTATAATTGGTCCAAGTCGAAGAAAAAATTGATGTTCCCCAGGTCTTGCAGAAGATCCTGGACCTTTGACAGAAGCATATTCTTTGCAGAGTATGTTTGCCATAGCATAACCTATAAATAGCATAAAAGTTATTTTATAAATACATGCAATAACATTCTTCAATATAACTTTTCTCTAATGCCTCTTAGTGCCTCTACAAAATTTGCATAATATTTCTTAGAAAATCAAACTCCACAAGATTATATAAAAACAAAAACAGGTTATAATTACAGAAAACCTAATTAGAACTATTATCTACATATTTTAACCAATTAAAACTATTATATGCCCTTATTATATCATGACGTTAAACTGTGCCCAATTTAATTGTAGGTAAAGGAAGAGAAAGGCATCAACTTTAAATGAAAATCCTTCTTGTTGCAGTATCACAAAAAAAAAATCATATATATATATATATATATATATATATATATATATATATATATATATATATATATATATATATATATATATATATATATATATATATATATATATATATATGTATATATATATATATATAATTTATCTTAAATTCATTATTAAATTTTTTGTTTTATTTAAAAAAAACTTTGATATTTTATTTAAAAAAAACATTATACAGAATAAAAAATTTACATTTTTCTGCTTCTTGTAATGATTTAATTGCATCACCACACTTGTCTTCACTTAGTAAGCTTTCACCTTTAAAAGCATGAGCCTTAAAATTAAAAAAATAAATGTAGTTACAATGTTTCTAATAACAATTTTAAAATAATCCATAGTAGTACACACTAAAAAGTTATTAACATAAAAAGTACTAGAAAAATCCATTGTGATATGAAAACTTTTTCTTATCACTTTTGAATATTTTTATGCTGAAATAGACTGAAAATTTATGTTAAGCAGGGGTGCAGAGTCCCAAATGGACTCCAGCTTTATATCTCTATTTTTTCCTGGTTTCAATGTCCAGGAGCTCTAAAAATGTTAAGTGACTTATGATCCGCAATAAGAAAAAAAAAATTAACAAGATTTAATGACATAAAACCTATTGTTTTTTAGCCCGAAGTCCCAGATACCTAGAATCCTTGCCGCCATAACTAATAAAGGATTCAAAATTTGAATGTTCTTCTGGCATAAGTGTTTATTTTTTCTCCCTAAAATTATAAATAAAATAAGTCCCATAAGTTATAAATAAAAAAACCTTCATAAGTTATGAAAGTAGTCAAAGCCTTTAAGTCTTTTAATATTTTTGGAGCTCCAGGATTCCAAAATCAATAAAGAAATATTTGTTTTGAGACTTTCCTGAGTCCTTTTTTGGACTCCGCATTTCTGGAGTTAATCTAAGTATGATAGAGATATTAAAGAAAGAAAAAAAGTTTTTCCGAAACTAATTTAGTATTAGTTACAAAAATGAAAAAGTTTATGTTCGTAAATTATTAGTTACATAAATAATATATAAATATATATATTATATATATATATATGTATATATATATATATATATATATATATATATATATATATATATATATATATATATATATATATATATATATATATATATATATATATATATATATATATATATATATATATATATATATATATATATATATATATATATATATATATATATATTTATAGTGCTGCATTTTTTCTAATAAATAAATAACTATGTAACTGTTTAGAGAAATAACTATGTAACTGTTTAGAGACAATGTTCTTCAAGTTTTATTCATCACAAAGTTCATTATTTGCACACGAAAATTAATAAATTAATCAAAAGTATTGAAAAAAGTTGATTTCCTTCTGGACAAAACAAGTGCAACTCCACAAAATGTTAACCAAGCTGTATTTCGCTATTAATATTTCGTGGTGAATTCTTTGTTGTCGATCACAGCCTTGCATCTTCCAGGCATAGATTCGATCAGGTGATCAATGAAACTTTGTGGAATCGCTGCCCAGGCCTTTTGGATTTGTTCAAACAGTTGATCCTTATTACGAACACCTTCACAATTAATTCTGCGGTTGACGATCTCCCACAGGTTCTTGATAAGGTTAAGATTCGGAGATTGAGGCAGCCAATCCATCACCGATAGGTGGTTGTCTTGAAACCACTGCTTGACTACTTTTGCAGTGTGTTTCAGATCGTTGTCTTGCTGAAAAACCCATTTTATTGGCGCATATTCCATTCAGCATGAGGTAACATAACATCTTTCAGGATATTTTTATACATGAAACGGTCCATTATTCCATCGATTCGATGTATTGGACCTAGACCGTTAGCAGAAAAACACCCCCAGACCATTACATTGCCTCCACCATGCTTCACAGTCTTATGGCAGTAACATAAATTGAGGCATTTTCCAGCCGGTCAACATACATGGCAAATGTCATCGCTCCCAATGATGTTAAACTTCGATTCATCACTGAACAGGACAGTTTGCCATTACTGCACATTCCAGTCAATATGAGATGTAGCAAACAGGAGTCTTTTCTTCTGGTTCTTTAGTAATCATCAGCAGTTTCTTTGTAGAGCGTCGAGAAAACAATCTGGCTTCAACAGCACGTCGTCTGATTGTTCGGTCTGATACAGGCAGCTCTAATTGTTTTTGTATCTCAACTGATGATATCCAGGGATCCTTCTTGACGGATCTGAGTTTTGTTGAAGTTAAAATTTATGAGCAACTGCAAGCACAAAGCTGTTACAGAAGAGAGACCATATTGGTGGCCTGTTCTAGGTGATTGAAAAGTGAAGACTTTTTTTAAAACAGGAGTATAAAAATGGGTCACCACTAAAAACAGCTTTAGATAAAAGATTTTCAAGAAGATCATTAATATACAGCTATAAGCATGAAGAATTTTTGGAATGCTATTGAGCAACTTTACTAGTTATTGAAAAAAATTTTATAATATATACTTCGACACTTCAATCTAATAGAATAAAAAAGATAACATCAATAGTAATTTTAGATTTTGTTTCAAAAACAAAACAATAATATTAAAAATAGGTTGCAATCATTGAAATAGCAGTGGTATATGAAAATCGAGAAAAATGATAAATTTTCTCGTGTTAAACATTAAAAAAATTAAATTTTTAACATTAAAAAATTAAAAAAAAAGAATATAATAATACTTACCCTTAGTATTTTGTTGCAAAACCTTTTTGTTTTGGATAATGGTTTTGCAATGCTATGCATTGAGTCAACTAGGCGTTGACAAATTTCTGCAGGCATTGCGTACCAAACTTGTTAAATAGCTTCTCATATCTATTGACCATTAGTTTGATTAGTTGCAGAAACTGCTTTTTGAAAGTCTCTCAATAAGTTTTCAATGGGATATAGGCCGGGTAACTGTGCAGGCCACTCCATGACCTCAAACATATTGACCTGAAACCACTACTTTGCCTTGCAACTAGTGTGTATTTTGGGTTGTTTTCTTCTTACAAGAATCATTTTAGGAGCATATCTATATTATCATCGGGCAGCATAACGTTATTGTGGATGTTGACATATATATATGTTGGTCCATGAAATTATTAATCTTGTAATTATTTTATGCAATAAAACGACATCATTATATGAGAAGACATCATTATATGAAAAACAACTCCATACCATGACTTTGGCTCCACCATGTTTCACAGACTTAATTGTATATTTTTTCTGGAATTCTGTATTAAAGCTGGACGTCTAACTTATTATCATGAACCATAACTCCATAAAGAAAAATTGTTAATTCATCCGTGTATAATACTTTGCTCCACTCTTTGATGGGCCAATTCAGATGTTTGTTCATGAACTGCAAACATTTAGCATTATGTATTTTTGTCAACAAATGGACCTTTCGTGGATTGTGTACATAAAAACTGTTCTCTCATAAGCGCCTACAAACAGTAGTGTCACACTTGCTATTTAAGATCAGCTTTGATAAGAAACAATTTAGAACCAAGGGTAGTTTCTTGCTGTACCCCTTGCTGTACCCCTTCAGAACCAAGGGTCCCTTGCTGTAATTTCCTGAAATTACTATAAATGAGTATGAGTGTTGGCCTTCAAAGACAATTTTTTTTAATCTCAAAAAGATTCCCAGATATAATGAAAGCCTATGGAGAAGACCAGCGTGCCAAACTTTTTCAAAAGCTTTAGATATTTCAAGAGCAATAAACCTAACCTTGCCACCTCCAAGAGAGTAAGTTATTAGACTCAAGATGGGATGTTAGAAATTTGTTCTAAGATTCAAAGACCTTACTAAAAACAGAGTGAAGACTGATTGGACAATAGTTGAAGGAGTCAGAGTGTTCACTAGAGTTTTAAAAAACTGAATTCTGTTCAAAGTTCTGGAGTTACTTTGGTAAGACTTTTTTTGAGAGAAATGTTGTATGGACCACAAGTTATAGAAGAATTTAATTGAGAAATAACTTTAGCAACAGATAACAGAGTGATTTGGATGTCAAACAGTGGGTTAACCCTGTTTAATTGGAATGACAGGAAGAAAGTGGCCATTAGAATCAAGTGTCAAATTAGAGGGAAAAGTTCTTTGTAAATAGTTCTTCCTTATTCTTGGGAGATGAATCCCATGATCCTTAATTTAACTGGAATCCTTGAAATTTTAGACTTATTTTTGTTAATGACACTGTAGAAGATTATATATGATTATATATGAAGATTATATAGATTATATATAAAGAATTTCTAAAAAGAACTTCTGAGATATGAGATCTAGTAAACTGAAAGTAATAAAGTAGTATAATGTATCAGACAGCACTTATTGATTTCTTAAGTTTTTATTTTAAGATTATATATAGATTTCTTAAGTTTTTCTTGTAAAAAAGATATAAAAAGTGGTTACCATTAGATATAGCAGCTGCACAAGAAGGTCAAAACTATGGAGTAGAATGAAGCTTGACTTATAAGAATAAAACGAGAAAAAATAATTATGAAAAAAATCAAAATCAGCTTTAGGGAAGTAGTAAGTAGTGTGATGATAGGGTGAGCCCAAACAAAAAATACAAGATTTATTGAGATAATTGCATAAACAGAACTAAAAAAAAGGAGATCAAGAAGAAACTGAATACAAACTGAATACGGTATGAGACAAATCGAGAAGTGAAAGTAAGTGATTAGGGTTCTCAGGAAAACAATTACAAAACAAATAACACAGGTAATATGCATAAGTTGGATTGGATGAGCCTCACAGGTAATAGACTCATTCAATCCAACTTTTTCCCTGTTGTAAAGTTTTTTTGGAAGAGCATATTTTGCTCTTCCAAAAAAGCTTTACAACAGAGAACTCCATCTTGCATAACAATGAATGTTTCTTGCATAAAATGAATGGTTCTTTTAGAAACTTTTCTCTGAGTTATGAAACCAGCGTATTTTGTAAGACTACTTTTACCACATCATCATTTTTATAGGATGCTTAACAGTCTGACCAACACAGTCAAGATGAAATTTTTCTCCATAAAGAGGACACATATATAGCTGGATACTGCAAAATTTCAAGTATGTTTTAATTGTGAAGCAGACCTGTTGAAAATAGAAAAAAATAATCTATGCTGGTCTACTTTACTTCATAGAAAATGATAATAAATGTATTGTTTGTGATAAAATAATAATGACTTACAGATCTCAAGAAGTCCACATCTTTAAACATACAAAACGACACTGTGTGGCCCACTTCAGCTGCTCTGTTTACATTTCAATTGTTTACTTGGACTTCCTGGCAGGCAGCACCCCATAAAATCGAAATCATTTAGTTCTTATCAAACAGTGTTCTCCGAAGCATCCACATAAGCATCCACATAATCTTGGAGTTGCAACTGTATCAGTGTTGTATTGGCAAGTCCAGGTAAATTTTTTTTAAAATACAATTAATTAACAATACCTAGGACCAAAGAAAATGATTCAACTTCCTGATTAAGTCAAACTTTGGCTGATATGAGATATTAGTTTAAGCTAAGGTGATTTTTTGTTATTCAATGTATATTATAAACACTTAATATACACCATTATACTAATAAAAGTGAAAAATATTTCAGTCAAAGAAGTTATGTATTGTATTCACGCTGTACACTCAAAAGATAAATACATGTCTTTTTTGTAACTTTTTAATAACTTTTTTCAATGCTATATCATTGAAAAATTTTTAGCAACACAATTATTTGCTTATTATTTGGTAATAAAATTGCGCATAAAAACTATTATTTGATTAGTAACATTTATCAAAATTATAACTGAATTACTTTTTTAACAGTTTTTATTATGATTTATTTTTTAACACTTTAATTATAGCATTATTTTATGTCTGATAAGGACTCAATATAGATCTAAATACAACAAAAAAGTATAGAAAATAGTAAAATTTATGTTTTATTTGGAATGACTTTTAAAAAAAAAACTTCAATCATGTTATTTTGATTTTTTATTTTTTAAAAAGTTTGACTTAACCGAAGAAATATGCTAAAAGAGGAAGAAAAAAAGGTTTGACTTTACAAAGTTTTTGTTAGCCTGTGTTTGAATTACCAAGAATTAACTGCATCTTTTCGATCATGGAGTAAAAATATACATTCATTTTTTCATTTGTTTCAATTTGTTGCCTAATTCAACTTTCTTTTTTACTTGTAGCATGCAAGCTTTGGAAACTTTATATATAGTTTATTGCAGCAATTTAAGTTTATTGATTATGATATTCAGATTTTTCTATTTTTAATAAAATACTTTTTCAGATGAATCAAAATATTCACAGAGAAGTTTTATTTTTTGCAGGAAAAAAGAAAAATATTACCTTGAATGCATTTTGGAGACCATAAGACACCCTTTAAAAGTGTGGTCAGTTATAGGTGGTAAGACCACAGGCCTTCTTAATATAGTTAAAGGAATAATAAACAATGATAAAAAAAAAAGCTACCAATTTATTTCAGTCATAAATAAATAATTTTATTATTTATTTATGACTAGTTTCCTGATCCATTTAATTGCATCTTTATGCATGATTCTGTCTCCTGTTATAAAGCTAAATCTGTGACAACATACTTAGAGACAACAAATATTATTTTACATTGGCCAAGCAATTCTCTTAACCTTAAACAAATAGAGAACACTTATAGGCTTTTAAAAAGCAAATTAGGCATATATATATATGTGTGTGTATATATATATATATATATATATATATATATATATATATATATATATATATATATATATATATATATATATATATATATATATATATATATATATATATATATATATAAACTCATTAAACTCAATAATCTTAATGATTAAATTTATAATCTTATTAAAAAATTCTTATAATCTTATTAATCTTATTAAAAAATTATAATTAAATATAAAAATTTATAATAAGTTAAATTTATATCCTACATAAGCCAGATAAATATTTTTCTTTAACTGAAGATACTTCCTCCACTTAGCAGCTTTAGTTTGTTCAATGCTTCGTAAGCATTCATCTAAAAAATAAATTGTTAAAACAAATGTTTTATAAAAAAAATATATATATATTTTTTATGTAAAATCTTTTTATTACATCTAAACATTCATGCAATAAAAATATAGAAAACTTTAATTTTACCAGCACTTTTAAATAAAGAACTTGTCCCTAAAGCCACAGCTGTAACTGTAGCAGCTTTGTGCTTTAATTCCACTGCTCTTGCTACAGTCACTAAAAAAGTAGTTAATGCAAATAATAATAAATAAATAATATATAATAAATAATAATACAAGTATTTTTAAAAAGTAAACAAACTGTTTAGTAATAAAACTAAAAACAAGAACCACATATAATAAATAACAACTTTGTATACCTTCTTGAGCTTCTGCAAGAGATTGAAGGTGATACGCATCCAGTATGCGAGGATCTACATCACTGTGTTTTTCAAGCAAACCAGCTCCCAGCTTACTTTCGCTATAGCTCTAAAAAAGTGTTAAAAATAAACAAAACAAAAAAATTAAAAGATTAAAAAGAAAAAACACTGGGAAAACTCTAACCAGGAAAACTATTCCAGATAAATTTCAATCTGGTTTTCCTAACTAAATCTTCATAATTGAAAATATTTTTTTGTATAAAAAAAATTTCAAAGCATTAGTTTATATTAAATTTTTTTTTTAATTAATTAAAAGTAACATTTTTTATAAATTAATTTTAAAAAATGTTCATAAGCAAGAAGTTCTGAGTTTGATCCTTACCATGTCCCTGGAAGTACAATGTTTAACTTGTTTCTCTGTGCAGCAGCCTTTTTTGTCAAGGTTCATGTTTTAGAGTTATAGAATTGAGAAAGGGTTGTAACCACAATTATAATAGCCCCCTAAACAGAGACAAATAGTAATTCAAGAAAAATCAGAGTCCTTTTTCAGACTTCACACCCCTGCTTCAAATGATTTAAATTTCATAAAAAAAAAAGAAAACAAAAAACAGAATGTCAAATAGTCATGATAAAGAGAATGTCAAATAGTCATGATAAATCAACCTCAGTCCCTTACCTAAAGTTTTTAGGTAAGGGACTGAGGTTGATATTTGACTGGGGCTGGGGCTGAGTTTGATAAAATATAGCAGGGGCTGGGTTTGTGACCAGGGCTGCATAAACTTTTATATTCCTAAAGTACTTTTTTTTTTTCAAAATTTTTGTTTGATTTTCTATATATATGCATTTATAAACATCATTATGATCAACATAAACATCATCATTATCATCATGATCATCATCATCATGATCATCATCATCATGATCCTCATCATCATTATCATCATTATCATCATTATCATCATCATCATTCTTATCATCATCATCATCATCATCATCATCATCATCATCATCATCATCATCATCATCATCATCATTATCATCAGGCTTTAGCCTTCCTCTTTTATACTGTTTCTCTAATCACGGTCAATGGTCAAATGAGGTTATTTTAAATTATAATATATAAATAACTATAAATTTATTTCTAGCCCTGGCTATCAACCCCTCGTAATCTTACAATTTTACCAGGGCCAAATTTACATAAAGTCTCATTTTTAGCTGAGGCCCTGGTTGTTTACTAGATACAGATGATGAAGCCAGATATTGATTTATACTTGACGATACTGCCAGTAAAGCCAGTAACCAGAGTAAATACAAATCAACTCCAAACAATACTGCAGGAATATTTTATTTAAGTTGAAAGTTGTTATTAAAAAAAAAAAAAATCAATTAACAGAAGTTTTTAAAAAGCTACAAATAAGCAAACATGTTTAGAAGTGAGAATCCCAAAAGCACTGATGTACATAAAAAAAATTAATCAAACTAAAGTTTTTTAAGCATGTAAAAGTCACAGAAAAAGAATACTACTTGAGAATGAACTTTGTTAAGTGAAATAAGAAATGATAGTTTATTTGAGCAGAGATACCAACTTGTGACAATAAAACAAAGTTTAAACTGACTGTTAGAATAAGCCCAACTATGCTTACAATGCACACTGTTTAAAGAAAGAAAGGGCATCGCTGGATTGTCTTGTTCAGACATGACAACCGTATTTGACTTAAATAATAATAAAATGTATAATAACATCAGCTGTTGTCTGTTTTTGAAATAAAGTTTGTTTAAAAAATGACGAAAGCAATAATTCTAAAATATGATGACAGCATGTGAGTCAGAGAAAAGTTTTTATTAACATTGCAATTGTTTTTATAGATTTTGAATCTTAATAATCTCAATCAATTGAAACTGAATTTTAACAAATCATCTATCCTAATTATTCCTCTAGTTTCAATACCACTTTTAAAAGCTGCAAACCAAACAATATTTTTTCCTGCATCATTACTTTTAATATAATATTTCTAATTTGGAGAATTAATATGAAAAATATTATCCATTGATTGTTTGAAGCCTTGAACAAGTAAATTATTCTTTATTAAATTGTTTTTTTATTTATTCATATTTTTACTGTAGTAAAAGAGAAACCATTTTAAAATAACTTGAATCTATATGGCTAATGTATATGACTAATGTAAACCACTACTAATGTGGTGGTGGTACAATGATAGAGGGTTCACCTTGTAAGCAAGAAACTATGAGTTCCAATCCACCGCATCCCTGGTTGTACCGCACTCAGCTTATGTTGCCGAGCAGGGTTCTTGTTTGTCAAGGTTTTGAAGTTAAAGAGTCAAGAGAGGAGTGTCAAATTAAAAAAAAAAAAAATTAGCCTCCTTGACTGTAGTGGCAAGTCAGCCTGGGGGAGATGAATTCAGTAAAAACAAAAAATAATTAATACTTTTAGTATTAGAATGTAAAACATGTTGATTTTTAAAACAAATGGACAAATAAAATAATTATAGGCAAATTTGTCAATTTTAATTCAATTTAATTCAGCTATTTTTAATATCAATTATTAGTTAATTTATTATCTATATTTTTTTGTTTTTGACACCTTTTATGCAGTGCCTGAGAAGGAAAAAAAATGTAACAGGATGGTTTTCAGTATTCAACCCTTTACAATTAGGTAGGTGAAAGTGGTTAACAATTTGTGAAAAATAAGCATAGAGTAAGCATAATTATACTTTTATAATAAGGATAATTATACTACATAATACTTATTCAGCATTTTAAGAACATTTTTTGAAAGAATGCATTGCATTTGAAAGTCATTGCATTTGAAAGTCATTGCATTGGTAAGTTATTGCAAAACAAATTTCTTTATGTATGGTAAGGTTTCATATGCATTATTCTTATTATTATATTAATAAAATCTTTTAAGTATCTATTGTTGTAGTATTTTTAAGTATCTATTGTTGTAAAAAAATTTTTTAATTGAAGCTGGTGGTATTTATGTAAAACATAAGTTACATTAAAAATATCATACGCTTATAAAAAAAACGTTGTATCTTTCAAAGTTAAATTTCACTAATTCAGGCCTCTAAATTCAACATAAGTATGAAACGTTTGCAAATATATAAAACTAAAAAAAAAAAACTAGATTTAAATAAAATTTACTTTAGCTTTTAGAAAAATTCCGGCGGCTTGACGAAGATATCGAAATACATCTTTCGCCTCATCTTCAGACAAACTAAATTATATGTATAGATTAATAAAAAAAAGTTGTTTAGATTTTTTCATAAAACACATAGGGAAAGACATTTGACCATGAGGAACATTCAACCTTTTCAAATATTTCCCAAAATGCTTACAATTACCATTAAAATTGATAAGCTATTGCAGGAAACAAGTATCAATCCATTTTCATGAGCATTAGTACTTATATAGAAGAAAATCAAATTATTGATATAAAAGTTAATTTTTATATGTTTTAAAAAATCAGCAGAGAATCTCTTTTCTAATTTTAAGCTCCTAAACTTTTGTATTGTTTATTATTTAATGATATCTTGAGTTAAAAAATTTTGTGTTTAGTTGAATTCAAAAAATTGATTTTGGCTTTTAACAGTGTTTGTTTATATACAACACGTGTAGGGTACATTCGATCTGCCTAGATGGGGAACATTTAACCAATGCTTGAAAATACCATGCTAATTAATTTACAATCTAGATAAAACTGGTTGCACAACAGTCATTAAAACTGTAAAAGTTGTATCAATGTGTGGCGAGAAACAAGTTTCACAGGTAGCTTTGGCAGAACGTGGCCAGTTAGTAACATTTGTTGGCATTATAAATGCAATCGGTCAGTTTCTTCCTCCAGTTTACATTTTTCCGATAAATCATATTTAAATTGTTTATGATAGGAGGTCCAACATCTAGTATTGTTCTTGGTAATAAAAGCGGATGGATGACCTCAGAATTGTTTTTTTCTGTGCTTTAAAAAATAGTTTATCACACCAACTGTAGCAACAAAAAACCAATACTGCTTTTACTAGATAACCAAGAATTTCATTGCTCACAGGAATCAATTCTCTTTTGTAAAAAGAATGGAGTATGTTTACTAAGTTTTTTTCTCAATACTACTCATTGCATACAGCCTCCTGATGTTTGCATTTTCTCACCATTTATATCAAATTGTGCAGTTTCCTTTAATGACTGGCTTGTATTAAATCCGGGAAAAACAATTACTTTAAAATGTATTCCACAATTAACAAACTTGCATTTCTGACCTCCTTTACAGTCTGTAATATTATTAAATCATTTGAAACAACAGGTTTGTGGCCTTTAAACTCATTGGCTTTTATAGAGAAAAATTTCATGCCCAGCTATGTCACATATAGAACCCTAAATGGAGAATCAAGTAAAACTCTAGTGGTAATAGGTACACCATTACAAAATAGTTTACTACTCTTATCTACTAATGAAACACATTCCTCTTACGACTATTTGAATAATTCCAACAACCAAAAACTGATTCCAGAACATGATCATTTTATTAATAATGATATGGTCAAAAGTACCCCTCTAGGTGGTTGAAACTACCCCAGTGGTGGGGTACAATCAACCACTTTTAGGCTTACTTTTGAAACAGTGCTAGACACAACAAAAATATTACATACATTATTTTTTTATTTGTTTGTGTAAGTCCATTATTTGTAATGCTAAAAAACTTTAATTGTTTCTGACAAAAAATCATTTGTAAATTAATAAAAACCAGCTAAGTGGTTGAATGTCCCCCATCTTCCCCTATATCAATTTATAAGTGAAACATGATGTAGGAAAATTAAATAGCTGTAAGAAAAGCAAATTTTGTAATAACTGAGTTGAAAAAAAAAAAACTCAAACAAAACACTTTCACTAAACTTTAATTTTTTTATAGCAACATTAACTAACACAAAGTTAAGTTTTTGTTTTTTTTAATTAAAAGGTTTACAAAAAAATCTTATAGACACCTGTCAATCTGGAAGTCAAAAGTTTAAAAATGTCAATTTTAATATAAACAAATGTAAAATGAAATGCATATCAGTCATAGAGAAGCCATTCCTTTTTGAGATGGTTGTTGAGAAGCATCTTAATTTTTTTTAGTGAAGGTTCTTTTACAATATCATTAGGAAGAGTTCCATTTATTAGTTATTCCTATAGAAAAAAAGTTTGTATGCATATTTAAGCAAGAGGATTATTTTTTTAGTTTAAATATTTGACCACAGGTAATGAATTGGTTATCGATTTCAAATAAATTTTTATCATGATTATTATTATTGCACCATTTATGAATAGTGCAATAATATTTGGAATAATAATTCATAAAAATATTCATGAGCATATTCTAAATGGGGGCAGATTAAATGTCTTTCAAATAAGTATCAATAAAATGAAAAATTTTTCTTAGATTTTCTAAAAATGAACCTTTATGATCTAAAAACACTTAAAAAATTCAAAATTAAAATATAATGTGTAACTGGGTGGATAACAACAAATTAGATCATAATAAAAAAATTAAATATATATATATATATATATATATATATATATATATATATATATATATATATATATATATATATATATGTATATATATATATATATATATATATATATATATATATATACATATATATATATGTATATATATATATTTATATATATATATATATATATATATATATATATATATATATATATATATATATATATACATATATATATATATATATATATATATATATATACATATATATATATATATATATATATATATATAATATATATATATATATATATATATACACAATAAAACAGGGTGACTTTGATAGATTTTTAAGCATTTTTGCCGAAAAAAAATCTTTGTTATAACATTTTTTTCTGATTTTTTTTTGTTGCTGATATAACATTATACCTTTCTTTTATAAGATTTCGTTAAATTTTTTTTTTTCTTTTTTGGTCGTACTATTTTTTTTTAAGTATAAAATGTTATCAATCTCACCACTTTGTTGGAGTGACTTTGATAATCTATTAATTTCTTATGGCTTATTAATTTAACCCTCTTCACAAGTGTCACTAAAAATTTTTTTTGAAGTTTTACTAAATTAGGACACAATATACAAGCAAATTTATAACATATTACTGGTAAAACTATCAATTTAGAAAACAAGTTTGGTTATCAAGTATATCCACAAAATGGACAAAAAAAAACAAAAAAACAATTTAATGTAAATATGCTAAACATAGCAATATAATATATTACAATATATATGTATATAATATAAAAACTGATGTCTGAAATACTAGATGGTAATGTTAGGGCTCAGACTGTTGTAATTGTAATTGTAAAAATTAAATACAATAACACATTACAATACAATAATACTGTATTGTAATACCACAGATGTAATTAAAACATTTATTGTTATTGTATTGCTGTGATGAAAAACAGTTACAATAACTATTGTATTGTTTTTGTTCTAACAATACATTGAAATCCTAACACTTTTGTATTGTATTGCTGTGATGTAAAACAAATACAATAACTATTGTCTTGTTTTGACAAAAAACAGTTACAATAAATATTGTGGTGTATTTTATTACTATTTCAAAGTCCAATAGCTATTGTATTTTAAAGTATATAGATTCATTTTCACACGCATTTATTAATATTTGGGCACTAAAAATTCAGAGGACACATGAAAATTGTTTTTAGCAGTCACATAAAGCGTGTTTATTTTTATTATTATAAATAACTGCTAATGAGTAATAAATTACAGCATTATGGAATCAGGAAACCATTGACCTGGGTAATTACATATAATATTGGCTAAACAAGTGAACTTTTATTTTGCAACAATTTTTTCTACATTTTCAGATTAGTCATCACCTATCAGACTAGAGTAGGTGTTATCAAAACATTTGGCGTCTGTTGTAAAAGCAAAAAACTAAGTGGAAGAAATGATAGGAATTGATAATGTATACATATCTATCCCCAGCAGTAAAAGAAAAACAGGTCAAATAAAACTCACTTTTATAGAGCTAAATAAAGTTTGCTAGGATAAGTGATATTCGAAAAATAAAATAGAATCAATAATCATATATTAAATGTACCCTATCAAAATAGGGTACAAACAAAACATGATTATCTATTCAATTTCTGGTCACATGACTAAGTTTTGACATTACAATAATTTTTTTCATTACAATAACAATAAATTGTTACTATATTATAAAGATGAATTACAATACAATATTTATTGTTATTGTAGTGGGTCATTACAATACAATATTTATTATTAATCTTTGAATGTCATTTTCTTGTTATACGTTAAAATATGGTTAGAATTCAATAAATACGGCTGCGTATAAACTATTTTTTAAATATATATATATATTTTTTTCTTTAATATATAATTATTTCGATATTTCGCTGATCTATTGTGATCAGCGTCATCAGGTATATTAAATAAAATAGTTACACAAATCGTTATAGTAAAAAACAAACCGTTAAAAAGATAACATTAAAAAGCCAAAATATAATACAGAAAAAATCTTTTTCAAATAACTGATGTCAGCAGATTTTATTAAAAAATGGCCCCCAGGTTTTGGTTGTTACATTATTACCGTCATCCCGATTGAGAACCACGTCACCATTTCTCAACTCCTGTTGAACCCTAGCCTTGCTTATTACGAGTGACTCTCTGATTTTCCGAGTTCGATATTCTGGGGCTACAGATAATGTTTTGGGGTGCAACCAATCAAACTTACCATGGCATGTTTTAGAATGCTTAGTTGCACCCGAACTGGATCATTTTCCTTTTAAGCTGTTTTTTTGGTGTTCCATACATCTCGATATCACCTTCTTTTTAGTTTCGCCAATGTATATCAAACCGCATGAACATTTTAGCTGGTATACGCCAGGGTCTGTGTTTAGTGGTAGTTTAGTTTTATTGTTGCAGAATATTGTTGCATATTTTTTAAATTGGGAGTTGATTTGAAAATAACCTTTATGTTTTGCTTTCAAAATTCTTTACGAAGTTTTGGACCAGCAATTGGTATCCAAGGTAGTTTTATAATGTGTTGGGTATCTATTGGTTAAAATGTGGTGTTTTTCAAACCGTTTTTTAAATAGTCTATAGTAATATTATTTAGAATGTTCTTGTCGTGACCATTTTCAACAAAGATGTCTATTAGAAAATCAATTTCTTT